GGGGGGTTTAAAGAAAACTGTTGGATATACTATCATGGCACTTTTTATCCACTAAACACTGTTTTTTTGTATTCTAAATGCTTTTTATGTTAGCATGGAACAGTTAAAGAAATGTAAACTTGAAATAGATTTCATCAAGTTTGACAAATTAATAATCATATTATATGAAGAGTTAGGCGGAAAAAGAAAATTTAAGAAGTTTTGCAATAGAAATAGCAAGATTAGCTAAACACCGTGTTATTAAAAGAAGTTATAATGTTTAATCAACCTTTGATTTGTGATTTTTCATAAATAACTCGGTTTTGCAAAATTTTAAACAATTGCAGATACCCCCTCCCCCATCCTCCACATAAATAAATGGCACGTGCAAAAACTTTTTAATTTAGGGATTTCATTTTTACAAGATTTTAAAACTAAACATTTAGAAACGGTATTTGTCCTTAAATTCAAAACTGTCCTTTTTGAAGACCGAGAGAGAGGAGAGATGGGGGGAGGGGTGCTTGCCAGAATAGTTCCAATCCAACAAATAGTTGAGTTGTGTTAAAGCATAAAGGTATAAAGATATAAACCTGCAATAAACACTTAGTCTGCAAAACTAGGTCCCACGCTTACCAAAACCATTCAAACACTCACACTTTTTATTTATAAAATATATAAAATTAAGTTTAAGAAATATTATATCACAATTTATGAATTTCTAGTTTGTTTTAACTCCGGGTCCCTGTCTTACTACAGAAGATCATACAACATCGTCATATGACTGATATAATTGTTGCCACTGTTCTTGGAACCAAACTCGCTATGCTCGCTTTCATAAACCTGACGAAGAATGGATCCGAAGTTTTCCTCAATGGGTTCTCCTTCTAGCTGAGTAAGAGGAAGTTCAACTCCTACAGGAGGCTGGTTGAGAAGGGGGTCCAGGGGGGTCAGACACGGGTTTTGAGAGACATGGCTTAAAAAGTGTGCCTCAAGAGCGGTCTGGTTCTCAAAAAAGGCGTGGCACACTTCACATCGTGATGCGTACATAGGTGTGTTGAGCCGGTCTTCGTATCCCTGTAGGCCGGGGCTGAAGGATGGAAGAGGTGTGGAGCAAACCCCTCCGTTATTATCAAAATATTGTCCAACACTGTGTCCAATGTTTTGGGTTTGTTGAAGCGAGTTTGCTCGTTTGTGCGTTGATCGTCTGTGTTCCTGAACATGACGTCTAGTTGGAAATTTGACCCCGCACTCTGGACAGGGGACATCTGATCGGTCAGCTCGTTGTTTACAAACTCCCTGGAAATAAACAGACTTTATAGAAAAATGTTGATATTAAAATACCTAAAGAGTTTGGATATTAAATAATTTTTGTGAGAATATTAAAACTTTTTTATGTATATATAACTAAATTTGAGCTTGTCTCCATCTTAGAATATGTGAGATATTTCTAACAGTATGTTATCAAATTCGAACAAAATTATTGTAATTTCGAATTGCTTTCGGATTTTCATTACAAGCAGTGCAGATATTTAGATCGAGGAAAATACAGGAAAAGATCAGGAATATCTTGTTCTTGGACAAGAGGTTGTTAGAAAACAATGATAACAATAATAATAATGATATTTATAAAAAATGAAGTCATCTGCCTATTTTTATTTAAGAAAGGGTGGGATAGAGGATGGAAATACCAAGTTTTTTTCCGGGTTTCATTAGAGACAATTTTGATGTAATTAAAAGCATTCTTGGCGGGGTTTCGATCGTGTGATAACATTGGAAAAAGGTTACCCGTTAGTAAATCCTTTCTTTCATCTATCTATCAATCTTTAAACTATCTATCTATTGATATTTTCTTTTCCTATCCGTCAATTTATCTAATAGACGTGATTTAAGATTTCTGCGCTGATTTATGACCTAAAAAGGTTGAAAAACAAAGAATATAATATAAAATATAAAAATGTTTATAAATATAATCAAGCTGTAACTCTTTCCTAAACAGTCCCCCCAGTCCTAACTCATCTATTGTCTGTTAATTGCAAGGCCAATAGATTTGCCGAACTGATAATTTTTTCCCGGAACACTTGAGATTCCTCTAAAATGGATTCTTAAAGTCCTCTAAACGTAGTTTAATACCCGACACTTTTACCCCAGTGCATTGGAACGGGCGCGTGTGTTGCGGGATTTTAACGTCGCGTTTTCCCCGCATTTTTAGTGGATTGTGCATACCAGGGATCAGATGGTGTGTACAGAGTTCGATTCTTATCATGATGCTCTTTAAACTTAAGTTAAGGTTGGTGGTCCAAATTTACCAAAATGGACAGATACACAGATATGTAAACAGGGAGAGAAACTTGAAAATATAAAGAAAAAAAATGTAAAAAATTCTTGAAGTTGACGTGTGCGCACAACGGGGCTAAATGCCTCACACGACTATGAATGCTAATCAGATGTATTGAGGTTAAATCAAATAGATAGGTAGATAGTCTAGATAGATAGACAGATAGCTAGCTTAGGACTTTGCAAACAATTGAGGTTGCAAGATAACATTATTGAGGGTTTTAATGCTTAGGAGCAAAAGGATGTGTGAAGAGGTATAAGTTTGAGGGGTATTCTATAGGAAAAGGTATAAGGTAGAGGGGTATTCTACTGGAAATAGTATATGGTAGAGGGGTATTCTACTGGAAATAGTATATGGTAGAGGGGTATTCTACTGGAAAAGGTATAAGGTAAAGGTGTATACTACTGGAAAAGGTGTAAGTAAGAGAGGTATTCCACTAGAAAAGGTATAAGGTGGAGGGGTATTCTATAGGAAAAGATATAAGGTAGAGGGGTATTCTATAGGAAAAGATATAAGTTAGAGGGGTATTCTATTGGAAAAGGTATAAGGTAAAGGTGTATACTACTGAAAGAGGTATAAGGTAGAGGTGTATACTACTGGAAAAGGTATGAGGTAGAGGGGTTTCCTACTTAAGGTAGTGGTGTATACTACTGGAAAAAGGTATAAGGTAAAGGGGTATTCTACTGGAAAAGGTATAAGGTAGAGGGGTATTCTATAGGAAAAGATATAAGGTAAAGGTGTATACTACTAGAAAAGGTAAAAGGTAAAGGTGTATACTACTGGAAAAGGTATAAGGTAAAGGTGTATTCTACTGGAAAAGGTATAAGGTAAAGGTGTATACTACTTGGAAAGGTATAAGGTAGATGTTTATACTACTGGAAAAGGTATAAGGTAAAGGTGTATTCTACTGGAAAAGGTATAAGGTAAAGGTGTATTCTACTGGAAAAGATATAAGGTAAATGTGTATACTAATGTAAAAGGTATAAGGTAAAGGTATATACTACTGGAAAAGGTATAAGATACAGGGGGTATTCTACTGGAAAATGTGACAGAGGGATTACAAGAGGGATCATCCAATTCCCAATTTGCATAGCAGAGAGGATTTAAAATCCACACAATTCAGGAATTCGAAATCTTAATTCGGAAGTGTGGAAGGCGTGTAAAGGGGTTCAACAGATGGTATTTACAGACCAGGGTCGGGGGCTGGAGATTAAAACAATTCGAAACAGAAATATATTTGTGTTTTCAATTATTTTCTACAAATGCAGATCAATTGAAGCAAATAATTTGGAAGAAAAACTGGTTCTTTCCGAGTTAAGATCTTTATCCAGAATAATTGTACGTGGGAAATAACCTCTAAACCTTTTTACGTCATTATCATTATCATTATCATTATCATTATCATTATCATTATCATTATCATTATCATTATCATTATCATTATCATTATCATTATCATTATATCATGTGCTCCGAGTGAATAATAAAACTAAAATACGACCCACTGAAGTCTACAGCTACTAGGTGTTAAGTGTAGAGTAAACCTATTGTACTGCTAGTGTTTACTTTAGAAAGAAAAGTAAACACAGCTCCATTAAACCACTAGTTATACCATTTATGCTAAGCCAACACGAATATATTTAAATTACACCAAGCGTACGTATCTTCTATATATTTATATATATTTTGTATTTTGGTGGTTAAAGGGAGAGGTCGCAAAAAATGAAGCATGTTTTAAAGAAACCAAAAGTTTGAAAATTTACTAGGTCCTTATTTAGTGATTCTCCTTGCACAAAAATTGGAAAGAAATAAGAGAAATACCAGTCGGTGAAAATATTTTTTAGAGAGTTTCTTTTTATTTGACTTCTTTGCAAACTCTACCTTAAAGTATTGTAAAAAAAAACTCACCATGTGCTTCTGTAGATATGCTTTGCACGCAAAACTGAGACCACATCCAGTGCAGTGGAAATCCCGTTTTCCTGAGTTATGAACAGCACGTCTATGATCTTCTAGAGTACTCTTGTAGCTGAAGGGGGCATGGCAGATATCACAATGGAACACTTGACCGGCATGGGCTGCCAGCACGTGACGGGTCAAACTAGCTTTTCGTGTAAATTCAGATTCGCAGCTCCCGCATTTATAGGGTTTGTCCGAACTGTGGGTTTTCAAGTGACCGGTCAGAGTTTTCTTGTTCTTAAAGGTTGTTCCGCACTCAGGACATGGAAAACTCTCAGAGTTATCAGAATCGTGGAGTTTTTCATGAACAGCAAGATGATCCTTTCGTGAGAATGATTTAGGGCAGTATGTACAGGTATACTTGTATTCTTTAGTATGGGTTCTCTGGTGTCTTCTCAAACTATGGCTCCATTTAAAGGTTTGCCCACATTGATTACACATATACTTTCTTTCGCTAGCATGCGAGTTCATGTGACTTCCCAGGTGCTCTTTAACACGGGTTGTATAATCGCAGAGGGGGCACATCAGATCAGTTGGTCCAATCTTAGATTTTCTAGACCGTTTTTTGCAGCTTTCGCTGGACTCGGAGTTCACATGCTTTCTTTTCATCCCCTTTTCAAACTGAAAATCCTCCTGGAGCAAAGGTTCAAAGGCTGGTGGACTAGCGGCAAAGGAGTATTCTGATCCGCTAGAATTTAGCGGATCAGAGTTAACTGACATAGTGTCGATGTCCCGTTCTGTCGTAGAATCTGGAAGGCAATCAAGGTCGTCGTTGTGTTCATCTGGAGACTCTGAACCGGACTCTACCCCTGAGGTTGATGCTGTCCATTGAGATGAGTCTGGAGACATGACTGCTGTATATTGAGGATGATGATCACCAGCTAGGGAAGAATGAAGGATCTGTTCTAGAGCTGTAGAACCTAGGATCGGGAGTTCGGAGTAGTTTAGGAATCGATCCATGACTCCCTGGTCAAACCTGTCCGAGGGTAGGAGAGACTCCATCCTGGAACAAAAACATTGTAAATTTATACAAATAAGAAAGTAAAACTAATTTTTTAACATAATCAGATTGAAATCTTGCACAATGCGTTTAAAAGTACTCAAATATCCCCCCCTCCCCACCAAAAAAATATATGAAAAATATTATTAATCGTGTTTTACATCATGTTTTTGTCTTCTATAAATCTCTTCATATCATTCTATGAAATTGCATGGTATCTACAAAGACCTAAGTTTTTCATTTCATATAAAATCATATATTTTTTTCTGCAGTATAATCATGATTATTTTAAAACCAATAAGGCTCATGGGACTTGACATAAATAATTATATTTTGTTTGCCATATATTCTAGTATCTACATCTCTAAGAAGTTTCATGTTGTAATCAGAGTTTCGCCTCTTATGGGTTACCCAATTTTTTTTTCCAAAAAAGGTTATTATCTATAAATAAATATATTTATATGTCTAAGAATTCAAGAAATTATCTAAAATTGTCTAAATGTATTCTATCTCTACATGGAGAGTCTATGCAATCTATCTGTATCTAACTATGAAGACCTTTAATCTATCTGTATCTAACTATGAAGACCTATAATCTATCTGTATCTAACTATGAAGACCTATAATCTACCTGTATCTAATTATGAAGACCTATAATCTATCTGTATCTAACTATGCTAAAAAGACCTATAATCTATCTGTATCTATCTAATTTTACCTCAAATCTATCTGTTTAATCTGAATAACCAAATAAAGGAGAAATTGTGTTCACGTTTTATCCATCCTAGCCAGCCATCCAATCACATTCTGCATTCAACAGAATTCAAAATAACACGGCTTACGAGGGGAAAACTGATCACTTATCACAAACTCTAATTTTATTATCCTAACATCTTTGCAACGTTATGTTGTAGGCCATTAATCTTTCAAACTATTAATTCTGATTTAAGTACTAACCAAAGTTTGAAATATAAAAAGTTACACCATTTAGATTGGATAGAAATAGGGATTAGAAAATTAGATTTTTTGTCGAGTGTTCAGACGTATTTTACCCACTGTAGTTAGTAACTGAAGTTTTATTTGCAGTAATACACATCGTAGTCTTATCCTAACTAAACACTTGCCGCAAACTTTAATCTTATAGTAGGCATCAAACCCGCAGTGGTTTATATAGAAAAGGTCTAGTAGCCATCAAACCCACAGTGGTTTATATCGAAAAGGTATAGTAGGCATCAATCCCACAGTGGTTTATATAGAAAAGGTATAGTAGGCATCAAACCCACAGTGGTTTATATCGAAAAGGTATAGTAGGCATCAATCCCACAGTGGTTTATATAGAAAAGGTATAGTAGGCATCAAACCCACAGTGGTTTATATAGAAAAGGTATAGTAGGCTAAAACTATTTGCTTTTGGCCAAATATCTAGGCAGTGCCTAGGCATACCACCTTAGCCAGTAAGCACTATAGGCAGCAAACCATATATAATAAATAACAATCTTCTAAACAGGAAACATTTGAACTCAATTTAATCTTTTGCCACCATTAAATATGAATTAAAGATAGGTTACGACAATACAATGCTGATTATTTCAGATGTGTCTTTCAATCAAGGTTGTACATTAAGGTTGGTTACTCTCGATGCACTCTAATCAAGGTTGTATGATAAGGTTTCTTCCCCCACCCAACTCACCCATTAACTTTTTGTACTAAATCTCCATTAATCCTATTGCGGTTACTTGAGAGCAAAAAAATAAACCCTTAGGCCTGGGGATTAAAATGTTTAGGTTCAAGTGCTTCTTTTCCCATCTTAATCCCAAACAAAACAAACAAATTCAACTTAGACCGACTGTTGAGAACGGATAAAAAAAATTCCATTCTTTCAAAAGGAATATATGAAGATGGGAGGGGGGGGGTAAAAATATCTGCCCCCTTCCCCTAATAATCGAGTCCAGGAAGAAATCATCATCATTGGAGTACTATTTGAGACTCCCGGATTTTCATTGGGGACCCCATATTTTAATTGGAGACCCCATATTTTCGTTGGGACCCCAAAATTTTCGTTGGAGACCCCCATATTATCATTTGAGACTCCAACATTTTTATTGGAGACCCCATATTTTCAATGGAGAACCCATATTTTCGTTGGAGAACCCAAGATTTTCATTGGAGACCCTATTTTTTCATTGGAGACCATAACTTATCGTTGGAGGCTTCAAGATTTTCATTTGAGACCCTATAAATCCTTCCTATGTTTCAAGGCTGAAACAGCAGCTAATGACCTAAATAATAGTGAGAAACTAGTGTTTGAACCTAGTGTTCAACTGATAACAGATCTTGAGTTGTGTATTTAGAGAATTTTCTATACTCTGGGACATTCCGCCAAATCAACACTTTTTCAGGAAGTTTAAATCCCCTAAAAGACCTTAAATTGTGTAAAAGATATCCAACTATATCCCCCGCACCCTGTAGTTTTATTTGTAAACGTGTGCGCGCATATTTGAAGAAGCACAGCGTGACACTAAAATATGGTCGACTTGGACGGAAATTATGGAATTTGTGACAAAAAGTTTAACAGTTAAAATATCATATGTTAAAATGTTTAACGAAGTTTTCATTTGCGTAGTATTAGGGTTGTTTTTAGTACATTATGTTCTTAGTACTGTTTCCTTTGCGTAGTATTAGGGTTGTTTTTAGTACATTATGTTCTTAGTACTGTTTCCTTTGCGTAGTATTAGGGTTGTTTTTAGTACATTTTGTTCTTTGTACTGTTTCCTTTGCGTAGTATTAGGGTTGTTAATAGTACATTATGTTCTTTGTACTGTTTCCTTTGCGTAGTATTAGGGTTGTTTTTAGTACATTATGTTCTTAGTACTATTCTCAACATAGATATGTTAAAATGTTTTACGAAATTTTCCTTTGCGTAGTATTAGGGTTGTTTTTAGTACATTGTTCTTAGTACTGTTCTCAACATAAATAATCAGTGATTATTACTTTATTTTCCAAGAAAGAAAAAAAATGAAAAGGTATGAAAACTAATGAGTAGGTATCCTGGACAGGGCAGGTACAAGATGTCCCACGAAACGTGACAGTTGGTGAATAGTTTTTAATGTCTTCTTCCATCTACTGTATTAGATATTTCAGTATTTTTGCAGTTTATTTCGTTAAACAAATCTTTTACTCAACTTTATTTTACTTAGAAATGAATTTTACTATTTAATGATTCACATAAAATATTTTTCATTATTCTCTTTGGTATCAAAAAACTTAAAAAATTATGGAAGAAGACATTTTAAACTGTTTACCAACTGTCATGTTTCCTGGGACACCCTGTATAACAAAATGAGCATCACCGTATGCCAGCAAATAAGTAAGTTTAAAGGTAAAGGATATAAGTATAGAGGAATGGTATTAGGAGGTAGATAAGTAGGTTAGGTATGGCCAAGTTGAATGTTAGGTGGTTGGGTAGAAAAGTAAAATTATTGTGATTATGTGATTCAGATAAAGTTAAAGTCTAGGGTAGATAAGTTCAAAGGTTTGGGATACAGGTTTGATAAGTTCACTATGATCTTGCCAGGCTACATTTGTAGCATAAAACGTGCCGGGTCGACTCTACATTGGGTACCCTGACTGGACGGTACGACTGAATGCGTATACAGATAGTGTACTACCGGTACACGGATCATGAAATTTCTAGACTGGGGAGATCTGAACTCATGATCTCGACAACTATGTAAATTTTCTAGACTGTAGTACTGTAGAAATGTACGTATACAACTTCTATGCACTTGCGTTTTAAAGCTTTAGTTTACAAGGAGTATATTTCACCCCGGACTAACCAGGGCGGGCCGGGATGCATTCGGTTTCTTCTATTTTAATTCAATCTCGTGCTGGTCTAGAATTCAACTCTAAACATACGGAGTTGTCTTTTTTTATTTACTTCTCCGCTTCATAAGCATATGCCAACAAAAAGTATGAAAGAGAAAAAGCGAAAAAAATATTTTATAAAAGGTCAAATTCTGATTAACAGTCTCAGTTCTCTGGAATAAGGACCAAACCGTTAAGTCTGCATGAATTGGCAAAATCCTAAGAGATTTTTTGCATAAAAGCACACTTTGGATTGCTCTGAGGGGTTTAGAGTTAGACAATAGACATGAGAGGGGGAGGGGGTTATATTGGAGGTAGATAAATAAACTGACCGGTAGCAATCTTGGATAAACAGACCACCCTCACACTGACTACTAAAGTTTTATTTCAGACAGATGGATAGATGGATGGATAGATGGTATAGATTAGCATTACATCGCAGAAAGTCACAAAAGGAACCATTTCAAAACATAAAACATGGAAAAAGAAAGGGAAAGCAAAAAGAAAGGGAAAGCAAAAAACCGCCAAAGTACTTTTTTTATATTCTTCACGTGGTATAGTCATTCTAGAACACATTTCATAATTACTTTAATTGTTTAGTGAAATAGAAAGTACTGAAGAGAAAGTAAAATATTTAAAGTGAGAGAGAGAGAAAGAGTGAGAATTTGAAGTGAAAAGGAAAATAGTTGAAAGGGTGAAAAATTGTTAGATTTACTGATACATGGGATACAGAGACCAGATACAATCTTAAACCACAGTTTAGACAACCAGACAAACAGCTAGACAGACATTCAGATAAAATAAATGAAATAGATAAATAAATAGATATATAGATAGATAGACAGATAGAAAGATAGAAAGATAGATAGATAGATAGATAGATAGATAGATAGATAGA